CCCGTCGCTCGGCGCAGCAGCGCTGGATACGGCTCAGCTCCGCGGCACCAACCTCCAGGGCCGCCCGCACGGTGTCCCGCTGCCTCCGTTCCGCCTCCCGGATGCGGGCCGCCATCTGCGGGGACGGAGCGGCGTGAGGGGCTGCCCGTTAACGAGCAGAGGGCGGAGGGCTGCTCGTGGGGTTCCGCATCCCTCACCTGCCGGATGTTTTCCTCCTCGCGCTCCTCGTGCGCTCCCACCGCCTTCCGCAACGCCGCGGCGAACCGCTCGTATTCCTCAGCCGGCACCACGAACCGCTCCCGCAGCGCCGCATCCGCGCGGTTCTCCCTCCAGAACCGCACCGTCTCCCGTCGGTGTTCAGCCCTGGGACGGGAGGAGCGCGGAGGGGCGGCGGTCACGGCCGGCACCGTTGTCGCGGCCGGCACCGCGCCCAGCGCCCGCTCCTACCCGGCCAGGTGCTGCAGGAGCCCGGCGTGGGGCAGAGCCAACGCTCCGCTCCTCCCGTCCCTCCGCACGCCTCGCCCGCAGCACAGGCACCACACGCGCCGCTCGTGCTCCGCCGGGTCGTAGCGCCGCACCGCAGCGCCGTCCAGCGCCGCCCGCGCCGCCGCCACCTCCTCCTCCAAGCGGCCCAGCGCCTCTTGCAGCCGCCGCCGGTGCGCGGTGCTGTACAGATGGCGGCGGCCGGTGAAGAACGTGCGGCGGCACAGCGAGCAGCGGTACACCGCCATGGCCGCCGGGCGCCGCGGGGAGGAGCCTCGGTTAAGCCGCGAACGCGGCTGTGGGCGGGGTTTAACCGAGGCTCCTCCCGCCGCTTTCGAGCTCCCCCTGGCGGCAGAGAGTTGTACAACCATGGGAATGGAAGGGAGCTCGAAGGCCGCCTGGTGCCTCCCTGCAGTGCACAGGGACACCCACAGCTCCAGCAGTGCTCACAGCCCCTCCAGCCTGACCTTGGCTGTCTGCAGGGACGGGGCACCACCGCCTCTCTGGGCAAGCTATTCCTAATTTCAGTCTTCCTAACGGAAAATAGCCTTGCATGTGGACGCAGCGTGCTGCCCTTCAGCCTGCGTGGCCCTAAAGCACAGCATGTGGGGCTGAACCGTGAGAAAAAGAAGAGGCTGCGAAGGAGGTTTGGCTGCTCAGCATCGCTCCTGCTCACATCACGCTCCGGCTCTGTGCTCTGCCTGCACAGAGGTGTTTTTTCTGGCACGGGCAGGGCTCACTCATACCCCCCGCATCTCTCAGTTCTGTGAAGCTGCAGTGAAAGAGCAGAACTCGGATCCCTGCCCCTCCTCTCAGATTTCTGCTCCGCTTCAAAGCAGGGCTGGGGCCGATTGAAGCAGTGCCGGGCTGTGCTGCTGCTCACCTCCATCTCCGCTCCCCCACGGAACAAAGCGCAGCGCTCTGCTTTGATTTCCTCGTTTGAAAGCGATAGAGGACGGAGTTTGAAATGTTCTGCGGCTGTTTCGGTGCGTGCCGGGCCTCAGATCAGGGCGGTGGGGGGCAGGCTGGCCCTGGGGACACCTGGGCTGTGGGCAGTGGGGAGCGGAGCGGTTCCAGTGGTTGTCACAGCCTTCATGGCTGGAGCTGGACACTGCCAGGCCTCTGGAAACCATTGAGCCCAATCCCCTGCTAAAACATTTCCCTATAGCAGGTTGCTCAGGTGGGCGTCCAGATGGGTCTTCAGTATCTCTAGAGGAGACTCTTCCACCTCTCTGGGCAGCCTCTTGCAGTTCTGTCACTCCCACAGTAAAGAAATCCCTCCTTGTGTTCATATGCAACTCTCTGGGTTCCAGTTTCTGCCTGTTGCCCCATGTCCTATTACTAAACACCAGCAAAAAAAGCCCAGTCCCAGCGACTTGACTCCCTGTATATATCTACAAAGTGCTGAGATGCCCTCTCAGCCCTCTCTTCCCCAGACTGAACAACCCCAGGGCTCTCAGCCTTCCCTTGAACAGGAGATGCTCCAGGCCCTTTGTCACCTTTGGCCCTCTGCTCCACTCTTTCTAGGAAAACTCTGTCTTCTTTGAACTGGGGAGCCCAGAACTGGACACAATGCTCCAGATGTGGCCTCAAAGAGGCAGAGCAGAGGGGAGGATCACCTTCCTCACCCTGCTGGCTATGCTCTGTGCAATGCACCCCAGGGTACCACTGGCCCTCTTGGCCACCAGGGCACACTGCTGCTCATAGCCAACCTGTTGGCCACCAAGACACACAGGTCCTCCTTTGTGCTGCTGGTCACAGCCCTCTGAGCTCTGCCAGTCACCAGTCCCCAGCTCACCTCACTGTCCACTCATCTATTTTCTAAGTTTTATTACAAAGAGACAATGTCAGAGGCCTTGCTGAAGTCAACAATGTGCACTGCAGGCAGGGACAGAGGACAGAGAAACAGTTCTTTACCCAGCAAAGAATGCACTTGTCCAAGCCACAGGCTGCAGCTTCTCCAGAAGAATGCTACTGGAGACAGTGTCAAAAGCTTTGCTGAAATGTAGGCTACATCTACAGCCCTTCCCTCATCCACCAGGTGGTTGACTCACTCACAGAAGATGAGGTTGGTCATGCAGGATCTGGCTTTCATGAATCCATTCTGGCTGTGCCCGATCCCCTGGTTGTCCCGCACACGCCATGTGATCGCACTGAAGATGATCTGTCACTGTGCTGGTGTGCTGCCTGTGGTACCACTGGGACTTGAGGTGTTTGGAAATCTGCAGCCATAAGAATGTCCCTGCAAGCAGGCAGCAATGTGGTCCCTCCCACACTGTGCGTTTGTTATGCTTAGTGATGCCAACGTACAGGTCTGGCCACATGCTACGGGATTCTGGGCACAGGGAAGACTACCTGGTGCTGAACCAAAAGCTCCACCATGCTCTGCCCAGAGATCTCATCAGAACGCAGACAGAGGTTGAATCACAGAATCACAGAATGGCTCAGCTCGGAGGGGAGCTCAGAGCCCACCCAGAGCCACCCCCAGCCGTGGGCAGGGCTGCCCCCCACCAGCTCAGGCTGCCCAGGGCCCCATCCCACCTGGCCTTGAGTGCCTGCAGGGATGGGGCACCCACAGCTCTGGGCAGCAGTGCCAGCGCCTCACCGCCCTCTGACAAAGGATTGCTTCCTCACAGCTAACCCACATCTCCCCTCTTGTCGTTTCAAGCCATTCTCCTTATCCTGTCACTACTGGACTGTGTAAGAAATTGCTCCTCCTCCTGCTTGTAAGCTTTCAAGTCCTGGAAGGCTGCAATGAGGTCTCCCCACAGAGAGGAGGAGGTAGATGACATCAGTTGTCCTTCCTTTGCCCACCAGTGCCATCACTCCAGCACAGAAGGCCACTGGGTGGATCAGGCACGCTCTGCCCTTGGTGAAGCCATGCTGGCTGACTCAGATCACCCCCTCATCTCAATGTGCCTTAACATCTCTTCCCGGAGAATCTGCTCCATGATCTTCCCAGGCACAGAGGTGAGGCTCCCTGGCCTGTAGTTCCCAGGTCTTCCTTTCTCCCTTTCTTAGAAACAGGAGAGATGTTTCCCCTTTTCCCATCACCAGGGACTTTGTCTGACAGCCATGACTTTTCAAATATGATAGAGAGCAGCTTGGCAGCCAAGGTTGTCTCTGCTCAGCTGAAGCTGTGGCCATGCCACTGCACAGCAGTGAGCCGTGCTGCCAACACGTGCAGTGCTGGGTTGGAAGAGATGCAGCCCATGGCTGTCATGCCTGACAGCAGTGGGATGCTGACAGTCTGTGTGTTTGGGCACAAGGCAGTGCTGTGTAATTCAGCCTCACTGTTCATGTCAGTTCAGAGTCAGGAGGACCATCTCACTACGTTTCATCTAAAAAACCCCAAACAAATCACCTTTTCCTTGCAGCTTGCAAGAGGAATGTTGTGACTTTAAGGCACCCCCTTCCCGTTCCCCTAATACCTCAAGGCCTCTGAGTGATTCTGGAGGAGAGGATCAGTGCAGGAGTTTCAGGCATCTTTCCCTGCCCTGCTGCACTGCTCACTTACCGCTCTGAAGGCTGTGCTTTGCCATTTCCATGGAAACCATTAGTTGCTAAGCAACTGGAGCATCATCTGTGCTGAGCCCTCGCATCTAATTATCCCATCACAGTGGCTGAGAGGGGCTGGGGGGGGATTAACTCTTCTACCATGGCAGATCCATTGACAACACTTTAGTAACATTTAAAGGGACATCATCACCCTTCCCTAGCATTTACTGGCAGCGTTGCTCAGACAGTGACTTGGTTTTCTTGCATTATTTGAGTATAAGGAGAAATAGAGGTTTCTGCAAGCAGCGGAGAAGCTGGCACTGCTTGTGGCTTGCTGGCTGCCCATGCAAGGAGCTCTGCTGAGAGCTGTTGGGTCTTCTTCCTGGCCGAGGTGTGCACTTAGCTGTGTGCTTGGATAGTGCACGCCGTGTCCCATGGACTGGGGGCCACACTTGTAGTCCTCGTATCTCTTCTTTGCATCATGTGCCTAGCAGAGATTCCTGTGGTGTGAAGCGGAGAGAACGGTGCAAAGCAAAAGCTTTTTTTCTTCAGCTGTGCTTGGGAAACAGAAAAAAGGAGCAGTGCTCACAGCCTTTTGCTTTTGTTTCTTTGGTGTAAGTGGGCTCAGTACCTGCTCACAAGGTGAGGACTCGGTGAGAAGGTGGTGAGCCGTGTGAGCACAGGGGGCAGAGGATGACTCCGCTTCTTAGCAAAAGTGAGAAGGTTGTGCACGTGCAGAAATGAAAGGAACTGTTCAGAACAACGTTTGCCATGCGCTGGGGGCTTGCAGAGATTAGGGAAAGCAAATGTGCAAACCTATGACTCACGCATGAGGTCCCAGAGTCAGGAAGGAGTAATGTAAAAGCTGCTCGAGCCATGTGCTGAATGCTAATGAGGCAAGCAATGCTCACAGGAGTGCTGCAACCCGCCGTCGCTGTGCTTTGCCACCAGTGTGGCCGATTCCCTGCAAAGAAAGAGCAGCTCGTGCTGCAGGGCATGCTGGATAACTGCAACTTCTGCGGCTTGCATAGCAGGGCAGTCGGGGCTGCAGGGCTGTGTGGCTCCCTGTGAAACAGACGTTTCCAGAGTTTGCAGTCCATGCTGAGCCCAGGGCAATCTCTGAGGAGGAAGCAGGCCTGCCCCTGGGCACGGGATCTGTCTGCAGAAGCAGACCCAGTGCTTGCTTCAGCCCTTGGTAGCGGCCGTGGGAGGCGGGACAGAAATGCAGGGTGTTTTTCTGATGTTGTTTTAAAGTAAAAAAAACATAAACAACTTTATATGTGAGAGAAGAGCACTTTATATTTTCAAGAACATTTGGTTTCTAAGAGCCAATCTCAACAGATGCACTGTCAGTTCTGAGCAGTACAGCCTCATATGGAAGAACTGTGTATGAGGAAAAACGTATCGGCTGTACCAAATGCCTCCCACCCAGATTGACATCCCAGAAAAGTGGAGCAGCTTTGTCTCAATTAATGTCCAGAACTGTGGTCCTCAATGAAGTCCCTTAGTAGGAATCCAGTTCCTTCCTTCTCTTGTGAGCCCTTTTGTGCAGGGGGGACGTCACGACAGGACTCTGCAGTGCATGCAGGCACGAAGCTGGAGAGGGAACCAGGTACCTGTCGGATACACACACAGGTGCTATTCGGCCTGGTTGATGCACGTGGTTCATCCCTCCCTGTTCATCCCCTCTGTAATCCAATTTGCATTCCCTTTTCTTCCTCTGGATCCGGCTGTTACCATGGGAACTATGTTCGCAGTTGCATTTCATTGGCTTCT